CAAATGTTTTTACCCTCGGGGGGTAAAATCAACCTATTGTATATTTTTACTGTCGGTACAATAAACCTAGGATACTTTTATTCCCCGTAATATTATATCGGGGGTTAAAATAAACTAGGTCTTCACTGAATGTTTATATTAGCATATTCTCTTCAATTTGAATTGAATTGAATAATTTTCAAAATATTTCGACTCAACTTGAGCTGTTAAGGCATATGCCATTTTCGATTTAAATATTTTTATTAAAAATTAATGTCGATAAAAAACTTGAAAATTTCTTTTCTTTTTCGTTGTATTTTTTACGAGCGTCTGAAATATGAATTTTGAGAAAATTTGTCTTCGAAATCACGAATATTTGCAAAATATAAGTCATAATGACATAATGTATATTATTTGTTAATTTTAAATTACTGTGAGAACAACTTAATAATATGAGATTGGTTGCTTTTAGAATGCTTGTACTATATTTGCTCTTGAGATTTTTGACATAGAGGAAACAATGTTTGATCCCTCCAAATCCAAAACCCTGGTATAACACCGCTGCAATATAAACCTATATTATATAGTTATATATACACATACATAGTCAAAAAGTACTCTATTGTAATTATAATAATGAAAATAAAGTTTCCCAATTAATAATTTAACTATCAATTTCACAGTAATTTATATACGTCATGTATACAGCTATTCGTATTTATACTCACTGCAGCAGTCAAAAGATTAATAAAGTGAAATAAATAAATAAAATAAAATAAATAGAAATACATAGGTAAACTTTTATATTATATTATATTTACATAAAATAATAATACTTGCGTATCAGCCGGTGTATTTAGGTGTACAGACACGATTTAGTATGAAAGTCATATAATTCGTACTGAATATATATATATGTACCTATTTACACACGCATATTATATCCATTGTGTTGCAGTGTACGTAACCTAACCTAACCTAACCTAACCTAACCTAACCTAACCTGTGTGACTATATGTAACTATAATGTATACATTATAGGCTAAAACTTGCGTAAGTATAATATGATATACAATAAGCAGATAAATATATATACATACATATTATTCAGTTGTCACGCGGCGATCAATTCGTTCCACACGAACGCACGCGCTCGCAAAATACTCCGATGGGTGACCGCACCAATGTCGGCCGAACCGACAGTGATCAAACTGCACGTGTTTATGCGTATTATACACAATACGTTTATAATATATTATATAATATACTATCTAAGTAGGTACTATAGTGTTGCTATTATTTTAGGTGAATGGCCGGTGATGCACTCGCACATCACTTCTACAGGGTCTTTTTGAAATTACAGTTTACAGTATAGGTAATATACTATATATATATCGCCGTTCCGGTAGAACAATGACGCAACTCCAAAATTTTTTATAAATGGCCTAAATGCTACAATGAGTTTAAATATAGCGTACGCATAATGTAGAAAAACGACGGAACTGTAGTTGTATTTTAGACCTCCAGAGGGCAATTGCGTCGTTGTGGAATTATCAGTTTGTACACTCATAAATAATTAACAATTTAGTTTTTTGGGTTTCCTGTAAAATTGCAATTATTGCAGTTGCGTCATTGTTCTACCGGGACGGCGATATTATATATATATATGTATACTGAGTGATTCTTTTATCAAACAACACTCATTATTTCAAAATGTATAAATTTTTTTGAAAATATTTTTTTACGTAGTTTCAAGTCTCTTATAACACAAAGTTTTTATTAAAAAATTATATTTTTAAATATTTTTTATCCTTATAAATTTTTAAGTTTTTACTTTTTTGAATGACAACATAGGGTTTAAATTTTATATTTGAAAGCAGAATATTTTTCTTAGTATTTTGATACATGAAACTCGAATTTGGGGTGAGTAGTGTATGAGTTATAAATTTTCAAAGTTTGATGAGCGGTGAAGTGGACAAACATTTCGCGGAGTAACCACGTACCACTCCACTCCGTTTGTCTAAACTTTAAATACTTATAACTCATAAACTACTCGACCCAAATTCGATTTTCATGTATAAAAATACTAAGAAAAATATTCTGCTTTGGAATATAAAATTTAAACCCTATGTTGTCATTCAAAAAAGTAAAAAACATAAAAAATTATAAGGATAAAAATATTTAAAAACATAATTTTTTTATAAAAACGTTGTTTTATAAGCGACTTGAAAGTATGTAAAAAAATATTTTCAAAAAAATTTACACTTTGAAATATTGAGTGTTGTTTGGTAAAAGAATCATGTATGCAATATCTTGGCACATATATAGTACTATATTTTACCTTACTTTATTCATAATAAGTATAAGTTATTATATCAGCTTATTTTACCTAAATAGTAAATATACTATTATTACTTTGATATAATATATTCACTAATAGTAAAAGAAAATAACGACAAAACGTGCCACTTTGTTGGACTAATATTTTGTGTAGTGTTTTTCGGGTGGGCCTTTATTAAAAGTCAATAAATATGATATGATGTGAAACATTTTTTGAAGTGGTTCTCTGATAAAAGACTGTACATTGAATATAAAATATTGTGTTTTTGAGCACAAAGCGTGCAGTCTGAAATTTCAAGTAGGTACCAATAATATATTATGTGTCATTCAAATGTCCAGTATACTGTAAAAAAAACAAGGCACTATTGAAAATAAAACTTAAGATTTCACGAAATTACAAATAATAGTAGCTACTCATTGGGTACTGGACAGGATTTACAAAACAATACGAACTTAATATCATATATACTACTAATTATATCAAATATTAAAGAAGTCGGTAAGTTATAGGTAGGTATATTCTATAAATAGTGCTTTAAAATGTACCTATAATATATTTGATAGTCGATGATAGAAATAAAATAGCAATAAAATGACAAATGTATTATTAAGAGGTATAATGTGTATGATTTAGTGATCTTCAATTGGAGACCGCGTGATCATCAGAAAGAGTTGCAAATCGCAAATAATCCATAATTTTAATAATTCAAATTTCTTTTTATTCAATTGCAGTCAAAAAAATATCAATATATTTAATTATACATAATACTAAATTAATTAAAATTTGTCTGGTTTTACAAATAATATATATAATAGAATTTATGAATATCAACTATTTTTTCACATACGGGTCGTAAAAAATAAATAATTATTAAAATGGATCACGAGTCCAATAAGGTTAAAGGCCTACTGCTAAAGTATAATATAGGTACACTGTATATATTGCATATATAGCTGTCAGATGTCTGCTTACGGTATAGAAGAAACATTTCATGTGTTTATCATGTTTTTTCCTACCTTTGATAAGTAATAAAACAATGTCCGCTGAATGAATAGCGAATGACTTGGCATTATTGTTATTTGTTTTAAGTTATACCTACAGGTTAATTTTATAAGTCTGTATGTTAATCAAATCCAAGATATTATAAAACGTAATCAACCAAAATTAGTTTGAGGATTTTTTCCATAAAAAAACAAAAGGCAAATAGTAATTATTTATAGAGTTGACTTATAACTTGTATATATAATATATTAAACATACATTTGTTTTAAAATATACTAATTCTAATGATGGAATAACGGTTGACAATAATCTGTATTTCTGTTATTTATATACAAATGTTGATTTCCCAGTTGGGTAGTAGAATATACTTAGGTATACCTAAATAATATTATACGTATGTAAATTCTATTTTATTTGAAATTTAAATAAACTGTTTTCTATATAGTTAAATATTTGAAAATCCACCTTAAAAGCAACATACATATTATATCATTATATAGTTATGAATTTAAAAACTACCACCTACTCCAAACCTATATATGGCATGTATGGTATACAAAATATCTTAAATATCTACCTATATGAAACTCGGCTAAAAAGTTAAATTCACAAAAAATTAAAAATTAAATGTTCAGATTAATAAGTAATAACCAATGCTTCATCGTAATCATATACCTCTCAAACTTATTCCCTCCATACAAACCTCTTCATTCAACAGAAACAGCTATAAACTTGATTTAAAATTTAGTAAGCGCCTTCAAAATTAAAAAAAAAAAAACATTAAAATCATTCATCACTAACAGTTGCTATAATTACCCCTCGGATTTATGCGTTCCTAATAGTAATAATATAATGTACTGTACAATATTTTCGACATATTTTAACAGAAACCTAACCTATATATACCTATACAGCTGTTAATGTTTATTGCTATTATTTGAAACAAATTGAAACGACCAGTTGCGTACTTATAGGCCTACATTGGAGAGTTGGGCAATTAAAAATTGATATAAATTCTAAATCTATTTCAGATTAGACGTCTTTATATGCACGCACGTAATTACCTACATAACTGTGGCGTATGATGTACATATTTATATAATACCTATACACTATACCAAATACAATAATTGCATAAGTACCTACCTATAGTTATAATTATTATTTTTATTATTTATACACAAGTGTATGTATTTATTAATATATTATATTATTACAATATACCTATATACTTGATTTGTGTCCAAAAGTCAGTGGATATATGCTAACCTACTTGATTGGTTCGCGTATATCATTACACTAATATCACCTATAGCTATACCGCTATTATATAATAATGTACTATGAATAACATTATGTACTTATGTATAAATATATATTATAGTATATTATTCGGGGGGCTAATTTGTAGCTCGGTGGTTGGCCTCAGTCACTAACGTGTTCTGAGGTCAAGCATCGGCCGACGTTGCTAATTCCCGGATGGGTGACCGCCCGGGTTTTTAGTGAAAAATCCTCGCCACACATATGCCTGTACATGTACCTATATAAACGCGCGTGTTCCTCGAACTGCAACCGTAACCCTCCTACAAAATGCTAAGCTGATGCTTGAGATTGACAAAAAAATATATATATTTATATAATATGTGCATCGCATTAATGCTCGTCGGGGATAACTGACCTTTGGGTGTTCTTCCGGTAATAGGGGAACCGGTCGCTGATGAACTTGTAGATGTCAGACAGCGGAAGCTTCTTCTCGGGAGCGCTCCATATGGCCATGGCCGTCAGCGATATGTAACTGTACGGCGGCTTTTGGTCGCCGTACGTCTCTCTGCACGGCCGCGGCATCCTAATTACGTGACCATCGTCGTCTCGGTCGCAGTGTTCAAATGCTGCCGGTTTGCGATCGTCACTGCAGTTGGAGTCGCACAGTCGTAGCAACAGTCGCCGATGACGGTGGAGGCATCGACGGCGGTGGCCGCCGCATAATTCACTGATATATTATAATGTACAGATATTATATTTATAAATGCGGCGCGTGTGTTATATATAGGCAACTATACAATATATTATATTGAATTTATTGTACAATATAATATTACAGTTTCGAAACGGATCGGTCGGCGCACTCGTCGCGTATATTTATATTGATCTATATAGGTACAGCCATATTAGGTAGGTACCCAAACTTACTATGTACCTATACTACTCGAGTACGTGTACGAGTATACCTATATATTATCATCATCGTTATTATTATGTATCACCGCAGTCGTACACTTAAAATTTGCAGATGTCATATTATAGTATATACGTGTTCAATCCAATATATAATATATTACGTCAAGTCAACATATCATTTTTTCTTCAGTCGAATTGTGTGCAGCGCACGCACGATTTAACCGCGGACACGATGTGACTATACATTATTATTATTATATCAAACAACGTTATCGATATAATAATATATATTATTAGGTATGTAGGTCCGGTGTACGCGTAGATCATACATTGATATCGTATTCGAAATTCGAATTATTGAAAAAATATCATACTACCCTTAAAATGTGTGTTCCGAGAAATGACGTTTTTCGCGGGTCGCAGAAATAGCGGTACGGAACGTCGCGGCGAAATTCCAGAAAAGTCACGCGGTGGCGGTGGCGGCGGTTACGACGGCGTGCGATCGACACTGACCGGTTTGTGCCGGTCCGGAGCCCGCAGCCGTCACAACCGCCGCCGCCACCGTCGTCGTCGGCGTCCAAAACGGACGCCCTCCACACAGTGGGCGGTCTGGCGTTCTGCTCCTCATTGGCCATCTGTACGCCATTTTGTAGTGAGACGTACACGCCCACATTTGGCACGCTGAGCGAGAGGAAACCACCGCCGCCGCTGCCGCTCGTATTTATATTATGGTTTCGCCAAATTCGAATATTTATTGCAACTGTAGGTATATATAAAAATAATATTATATTATATTATAATATGTTTTAATCATCTTTCATATAATAATATATAGTGACCTAATCTGGGGTATTCTCTTAGAGAGCAAATCACCTATGGATATTTTCGATTCAATTATCAATAATATGTATACCTATAATGATTGGAGGTAAACGCGGAGAAAAAGGATGATGATCGCGATTCGCGCTTTCAAAATTATAATTATATCCAACATCCCTAAAGCACCGCGGTGCAGTTTATAAGTAGGTATATCTACTATTATATTACAGAAACATATTAATATATGCGGGATTATATTATTATCTAAAAGCTCGAAATCAGTTTATAATAATAATCTTTATTATGGATATCAATAACTTGAATACCCAACTATCCATATTTACAGTAATAATAATATTTACAATAACAGCATATTATATGGTATATATTATTATAATATTGTAAAATGTATACTAGCTGAACCCGTGCACATCCGTTATTAGCAGTAAAAAATCAAAACTCTTAAAAAAACTATGATTGTTCAACTCCTTTTGGGTGTAACTTGCTGCAGTAAGTGCAATTCAGCCACCCTGCAGGTTATAGACTTGTACCTGATCCTCCCGAATAACCAATGGCAACCGATAATAAATAAATAATAATTATTCTACTGTAGAATGTAACCAATCGCAACTATACTATGTGTACAATTAGTGATGATCAAAACATTCAAAACAAGACCAAGACTATTTTGCTATTTAAACAAAATATATAATAAAAAAACAAAACTAAATAACTGATATAGCTATGTGTAGGTTTTTTGCTATAATCTCTAAGATGAAACTTAAATCTAATATATTATAATATTATATATATAATAATATATTTACTATTAGGCATTATAATTTAGATAAAATTATCTAGATAATTTTATCTATAAGATATATTTTTCGTATATTTTATCTCATCTAGATAACTTTAAAATGATTTATCTATTATCTTATCTAGATAATAAAAATGGTCTTTTTTTTAATTATCTTGATAATTATTTACTCTATTGTCTATTTTTTTTTTATATACAATATTTATTTACGCAATTTCACTGCATTGTACTAATATGACCCTTGGATTTACAAAAAGTTAATACAGAGAAAAAAAACATTTGTTATCAACAATATTCTTTCCGATAAAAATTAAAAACCAAAAACTATTATTATGGCATACTAATGATAGAATTCTAAGGAAAAAAGTTTTTTACTAAAATACTATATCTCTATTCAATTTAATATATGGGCTTGAAAGGGTTAAATATATTTTTTTTTATGTAACTAAATGTACCATAGCACCAATCTGTTGACTGTTTATGTAACATAAAATAAATGAAATATCAATGTAAATTTATTATATTTTTTTTTTCATAATCAACTATCAGCTTATCTATTATCTAGATCATTTTATTTGAATTAATCTATTATCTCATCTAGATGATAATATATTGAAAAATATCTATTATCTATTATCTTATAATTATTTGATTATCTATACCTAACGCTGAGTATAATATAATTCATAAGCATACAACAAGTCAAACATCAGCTGCTGCGGTCTTGGTCTTGCAGCAAGTCTTGAGAGACCAAGACCAATTTTGATCTTCACTATATACTATATTATAATATATTGGACTTGAGTTTCATCTTAGAGATCATAGCTAAAAACCTACACACAGCTATAACAGGTATTCAGTTTTTTTTTTTTATTATATATTTTGTTTAAATAGCAAAATAGTCTTGGTCTTGTTTTGATCATCACTATGTACAATTTACACGTTTATTTTAATTAATAGATAACTCAAATGTTAATTAACATAGACAAATGCTATTGCGATGGGAACCGTCTCTGTGATATAATGTTTCACAAAAAAAAAAAAATTAAGACAATCGGTCGAGTATAGTTTCCAAAAACATTAGCATCAAAGGTTTCAATTTTCAGTTTTATATACATTATAAGATATTATTCTGCGTTTATTATAGTGTGGTATACTGAATACATATACATTATAACTATTAGGTACTATATTCAAATATAATTTATAATAGGAAGTCGTAAACTAATACCTTTTATGTATATATATAATAATATTATATATTTAGGTATACAGTATACCTATGTCTGCAGGGCGTGTCGAATCTGTAACGACGTCGAGTGATGAACCGATAATGCCGTTCCCAATTACAGCAATGACAATATTATATAATATTTAGTACCTATAATACCTATACCTACTTATTATGTTTACAGTTTAAATAGTACGTACAAATATAGGCATTAGGCATTATCGTAATAATAGGCAATGTATATATATTTTATAATCATAATATTAAAATTATTTATGTATAGTATAATATTGGTATGAGAGGAGCGTCTTTAAATCGATTTCGTTTTTTGAAGTAACTATAAAAAAAAAAATGACCATATAGACACCTTCATGAAATTTTCACCTTTATATTAGCATTTTATTTAAACCATATAATTTTCAAAATATTTTGACTCTTTTTGAGCTATTTATAGGCCTGAGAATATTTCGATTTTAAGTTTATTTTTTAACATTATTGTCGATAAGAAAATGTTTGCTCAGTGAAAAACTTGAAAATTTAATACGAGATTCATTATAAATTGTTAATGGTGGAAATTAAAAAAAAAAAAGAGGGAAAATCCTCAATTTTTTAGGAGCGTCTGAAGTTAAAATTTTGAAAAAATTCGTCACTCACGAAAAATTGCAAATTATTTTGAGTTGGAAATTCATAAAAATCTTTTATTTATGTGTAAGATTTGAAAATTTAACAGAAGATTCCTCAGTTTTCCTACCTGCTTAATAACAAGCATAATAAGTATAATATAGGAAATTCAAATTTAAATTTTGATGAGCTTTTGAAGTTGACAACATTCCAGGATAAACTATCTGCACCTGATTTCTCATTGATCCACTTTTTAGATTCTGAGCGGAGCGATGAATGTATTGGTTTTACAATGATGTATGTTTTTATATTTTTATATTTTTATTTATATTTTTATATTTTTGTGTCTGTCATCACGTTTTGGGACAGTAAAAGTGCTTCGATTTTCTTCAATAGTACCTTTTCTGATAGGAAAGTGAATCTAGTTGGTACTTTGGGGGGTTAAAAGTAAAAATTTCCAAGTAGTTTTTACAAGCGCCGGGAAAAACAACATAAAAATTAAGGAAAAACGGGAATTTTTACGCAAAATCGGTTTACCAAAAAATCGATTTTGGTTTTTGGTGTAACTCTAAAAGAAATGAACGTATATACATCTCATTTTCCATCTTTTTTTAGTTTTTTTTCTAAAAATATCAATAAAATTTTATTTGTTGGTTGCGAAAGCTTGAAAATTTAATAGAAGGCTCCTAATATGTTGTTTCAAAGGCAGATGAAAAATATTAAAAATCCTTAGTCACAATTTTTTTTATAAGCATTTAAAGTTCAAAAATTGACAAAATATGGAAAAATCACGAAAATTAGCAAATTATTTTGAGTTAAGAATTCGTAAAAATTTTTCTTTTTAAATCTAAGATTTGAAAATGAAACACAAGATTCTTTATAAGATTATCTACCTTTATCAATAAAAAATCTCTACCGGACAGTCAAATTAAATTTTTATGAGCGTTTGAAATTCAAATTTTTACAACATTGGATTTTCACTCGATTTCTCATGTAGCGATTTCCTTATTTTGTTGTAATTCAAAAACGAATAACTGTAGATACATGAAAATTTCACTGAATGTTTATATTAGCATTTCATATACACCATACAATTTTGAAAATATTTTGACTCTTTTTGAGCTGTTTATGGACATTTACAGCTTTCAATTTTTTTTAGTTTTTTTTTCTATAAAT